GCTATTGGAATGCTCTTTTCTCTATTCTTCCCAAAGCTAATTCATGCTCATCAGCTCAACTAAAAGTCATCTTCTCGGCGGCTTTTCCCAGATCACTTATTAAAGATTTTCCCCAATTTTTCCTTCTCAACTCCACTTTTCCTTTATACACAGTACTTAGAATTTTAAATTATTTCTTTTGTCTTCCCTAGAAAAGAAGTAGTTTCAAGAAGGCCAGGACATATTTATTTTTATGTACCACCAAGGTCTAGTCCTATAAAGCACTTAAATATTTGTTAAATGAAAAGAAATGAGGCTGAACATGGTAGGTCACTCCTGTGATCCTAGCACTCTAGGAGGCTGAGGCAGGTGAATCGCCTGAACTCAGGAGTTTGAGACTAGCCTGAGCAAGAGCAAGACCCTGTCTCTACTGAAAATAGAAAAACTGGCCAGGCATTGTGGTCAGCGCCTACAGTCCCAGGTACTGGGGAGGCTGAGGGAAGAGAATCACTTGAGCCTAACAGTTTGAGGTTGCTGTGAGCTATGATGCCATAGCACTCAACCCTAGGGCAACTGAATAAGACTGTGTCTCAAAAAAAAAAAAAAAGAAAAGAAAAGAAAAGAAATGATCCCATCTTTGAGATAGGTCCTAAAATAATATTTCTATGTTGACAATTACCAAAAAAAAAAAAAAAGAAGCTTTAAAATATTGCAATGTGTTATTTTATTGATAAATAAATGTGTTACTCTTTTGAGAAATGGCTATTTATACATAAGTCAATGGATTCCAAATTTTCTCTTGTGATATACAGCAAGAAAATAATTTTATATTGCAATCCAATACATACCATTTATGTATAATGTTATATATAATTAACTGAAACAGGCCAGGCACAGTGGCGCCCACCTATAATACTAGCACTCTGGGAGGCTGAGACCAGGGGATCCCTTAAGGTCTGCAGTTCAAGACCAACCTGAACAAAGCAAGACCCCCATCTCCACAAAAAACTGAAAAATTAGCCAAGCATGGTGCTGTGCACCTTTAGTCCCAGTTGCTTGGGAGGCTGAGGCAGGAAGATTGCTTGAGTCCAGGAGTTTGAGGTTGCTATGAGCTAGGCTAAGGCCACAGCACCCTGGCCTAGGTGATAGAGTGAAACTCTGTCTCAAAAAAATAATAATTAGGCATGGCAAGATGGCCTATACTCCTAGCACTCATGGGTGGTAGGCACAGGGAGGCACAGATGGGTGGACTGCTTGAGCTCATGAGTTGGAGACCAGCCTGAGCAAAATCGAGACCCCATCTCTACCAAAAAATAGAAAAACTAAGGCAAGAGGATCGCTTGCACCGGAGTCAGAAGTTGATGTGAGCTATCATGCCATGGCACTCTACCCATGGTGACAGCTTGAGACTCTTGTCTCAAATAAATAAATAAATAGTAATAATAATAATTAACTGAAACAAAGTTTCACAAAATCATACTTACCTTTGATAAGGGAGGTGTGCTTTGATATTTTCTAGTCAATATGGTTAAGATATTGTGAACATTTTAATGTGATTTTTCTAAACTACTAAATGGTAGAAAGATGATGTATGTACCATTTTCATTCAGGATCTCAATAAACTAACCTATAGCACTGATTCTAAAAATGCAAAATTAATATGTTAGGGAAAAGATTCAATTATATTACTAGTTCTAAATGATCACATTCAATCATATTCCAACCATAGTCCTTAATCAAAAAAATGGTAGTCTATAGACATGGGATATTTCAATTAGAAACCCCTTGCTCAGGAGAGCCCAAAACTGATTTCAGATTGGAAAAAGAAGAGTGTGGTGGCACCTCTAACTCAGTAAGTAGGGCACTGGCCACATACACCGATGCTGGCAGTTCGAACTTGGCCTGGCACTGCCAAACAACGACAATTACAACAAAAAAATAGCTGGGCGTTGTGGCAGGCACCTGTAGTACCAGCTACTTGGGAGGCTGAGGCAAGAGAATGGCTTCAGCCCAAGAGTCTGAGGTTGCTGTGAGCAGTGATGCCACAGCACTCTACTGAGGGTGACATAATGAGATGCTGTCTCACAAAAAAAAAAAAAGGGTGAAATAAATAAGTCTTCCTTATCTCATCTAATAGTAACCCAATTCTTGTAAACCCACCAGCCAAAAACTCTGGTGTCATCTCTGACTCCTTTTTCATTCATTCATTCCCCAAATCCAGAGCACCATTAAATTCTATTAGCTCTACCATCTGGAATCTGATACTTGTCACTACCCTCACTGCCACGATTTTTGTCCAAGCCACCATATCTTGCTTTAATTACTACCCCAGCCTCCTAACTGGGCTCCTCAATTCTGCCCTTGTTCTCCTGAAGTCACTTCTCAACAGTGTACTCAGAATGATCCTATTAAACCATTAAGTTCTGCTCTATTCTTTCCCATCTCAGAACAGAAGCCAAAGTCCTTCCCTGCAAAGTTATACTTAATCTGTCTTCCCTGATCATTCCAATCTCTTCTACTACTAATTCAACCACCATGGCTCCCTCATTGTTCCCTTAACTACACCATATACACAAAGTTGAACAATAAAGTTCTGAAACTAATTCTAGAAAAAGTACAATATACCTCACAGCTGAATAGCACATGGTCACCTTTGAAATACTCCCCTTGAGAAGCTATGCAGTGACACTAGTACCTAGTCCACCCTTCAAAGCAATTTTGGAACTCTTTCTGAAATGGCCTCAGACCTCTTGCTAGATGAGGCCTGACAAGTTTGCAAACTCATCCTAGAAAAAGTGTTACATACCTCATTGCTGAATATCATTACGGTCACCAGATGGCCAAGGGGAGTACTTCAAAGGTGACTGGAGTGATATTCAGCAATGTGGCGAGAAGAAAATGTTGTAGGACGAGTTCACAAACTTAAATGCCAGACTTTGTAAGCACCAAGTGTTCCTTCCAAGTTCACCATCTACTCTGAATCAATCAAGAAATTTGGAGGAAATGAAACCACAAATGAAAGACATGACTGCCTACCTGTTATGAACTAAGCTTTAATAAAAATGGAACTTACTATGAAGCAAACACCAAAGGATGTAGCTAAGGCTGGAATTTTGAAGTAATGCTATGCAGACAAGATTCTGCCACTAATCAACAGCCAGAATCTCTCTGAGCCTGTTTCTCATACTCCTATTAAAATAACGATCATTATTATACAAGTCACTCTCAATTAATTGTTTAGAGGATGAAATAATGGGTAAGTACTTTTAAAAGCATTAAATGTCATTCCTCATACACATGCACACATGCAAGAAATTTCTAAATTCTAAGTTGTTAAATTCATGTCCAGTAGGAAAAGAATTTATTAAAAACAATGTTCTTTCCAGGAAACTAAATTTAAAAAAAAATTTTTAAGGGCCAGGCACAGTGGCACACACCTGTAATCCTAGCACTCTGAGAGCCCAAGGCAGGAGGATGGCTTGAGCTCAGGAATTCAAGACCAACCTGAGACAGAGCGAAACCTCATCTCTACTAACAATAGAAAAATTAGCCAGGTGTTGTGGTGGGTACCTGTAGACCCAGGTAGTAGGGAGGCTGAGGCAAGAGGATGGCTTGACCTCAGGAGTTTGCGGTTGCTGTGAGCTAGGCTGATGTCACCACACTCTAGCCTGGGCAACAGAGTGATATTCTGTCTCAAATAAATAATAAAAGTTTTTATAGAATTATGAGTCGAATTTATCTCTTAGGCCCCAAATTCATAGAAAAAATATTTTACTAGTAGATTTGCTTCAGAGAAATGAAAGAAAAATGAACTTTTTTTTCTCAGTTATCGAAGTATATTCTGCAAAGTTTTACAAGGAACTGACTATAAAATTATTAATAGGCAAATAAAGAAAAAAATCAAAGCTGCAAACTAATGTTAGTGGTTGCATGTCACTTAGTTGGCTGGGGAGAATGAATGACTGCCAAGGAGCAAGAGGGAACTTTTTAGGACAATGGAATGCTCTATGTCTTAACGTGGATGAATACATTTGTCAAAACTCATCAAACTGTACATTTTAAATGGGCACAATTTGCTGTGTGTAAATCATACCTCAATAAAGTTAAAGTAAATGAAAATGTCTATCCTTTATCCTTAAAAAAAAAAATCTTTTAGTCGCCTCATGGTCTCATTTATGTAACGAGATCTAATAGAATAGGCTTGAAGATATAAAAAAGGGTGACGAAACCTGAGGCAGCAGCCAAAAAAAAAAAAGTAATAGCAACATAATGGCCGGGGTTAGGGAGGGGGGAAATCTCAGCTTCTCAAGAATAAGAAAACCAGGCTCGGCGCCTGTGGCTCAAGCGGCTAAGGCGCCAGCCACATACACCCAAGGTGGCGGGTTCAAATCCCCAGCCCGGGCCCGCCAAATAACAATGATGGCTGCAACCAAAAAATGGCCAGGCGTTGTGGCGGGCGCCTGTAGTCCCAGCTACTTGGGAGGCGGAGGCAGGAGACTCGCTTGAGCCCAGGAGTTGGAGGTTGCTGTGAGTGTGATGCCATGGCACTCTACCCAGGGGGACAGCTTGAGGCTCCATCTCAAAAAAAAAAAAAAAAAAAAAAAAAAAAAAAAAAAAAAAGAATAAGAAAACCAGAAATGGTATTACTTCAGAAGGCATACTGGGAAAAGCACAAGGTCTTTGCACTTCAGAACTAGGTTTGAATGGATCTAGGCCGTTAAGTGTGTGACCTTGTGCGTCCTCCACCTGAGCCTCAGTTTCCCTTTCTGTAAAATGCAGATAATCATACTAGTACACAGCATGCGCACAATACATAAGTAACACATGATTTAATAAGGCAACAGAATTTGGTGCTAGCTGGAAATACTGCTCCCCACTTTCCCTTGCAGAGGGTCGTGGTCCCTTGCGTACGCCCCATCGCCGTCACCCAAGCCTCACAGCCTTCGTACACACGCCCCGGCCAGCCCGTTCTCTCCTTGACCCCTGCAGCTCTCAGAGGTCTCCCACCTCCCGGGCCCCACCTCGTTAAGGAAGCGGGTGACATCGTAGACTCGCCCGTGGATCACCAGCCATAGTTCCTCCAGGGAGTTGCGCTTCGCCACCTCCTCCAACCGGTAATAGGTGACGGAAGTCTCAATCCCTTGCTCTTTCCCGTCACTACCGCTAGCTTCCACAGCCGCCATCGGGCCTGCGAGACCTCAGCTCACTGGGCTTCTGCACCTAACTTCCTTGAGGTAGAGCCCGCGCTCGGCGCTCCTCGGCTTCCGTAACAAGGACCCATGAGGCCTTGGGAGGGTTCCTAGCAACAGCCAATCACACCTCCGAATAGTTCCTGGTTCGTTTTCTTTTCACCAATGAAACGAGAGGTTCATTTCCAAATCCTTCCCACTCCTCACCAGATCCTTGAAGTCAAGGTCTGGTTCGAGGTCCAATTAGCCAATCAGGGTCGTCCAGCTTTGCCAATCAGATACTGTGATTTTGAAACGGCGCCTAATAGACTAGGTGACAGATGTCCCGGCTGCAGAGTCCTCTTCACTTTGCCTCTGGGCCTGTAGAGTCTTAGAAGAGGGGACCGAGTCTTCGGTTTCCCGCTTCCCTTTCCAGCTCTATGGATCCATCCTGAGTCTTGCAAAGCTCGTTTCGCCCACTTTATGCACGGCCTGTACTCCAACCTCGGGTTAGCTTTGCAGATTTTACCTGCATGCTGCAAGATGACGAATCCGGTCTGTCTAAGGCTCAGTTCCCTCACCAATAAAATGGACATGATAAACCCTACCTTGAGGGGTTTACATATTTCAATGAGAGAATGTCTGTAAAGCGCTTGGCGCATGGTAATCGCTATGTAAATGATAGCCGTGGGCCGGACGCGGTGGCTCACGCCTGTAATCCCAGCACTGTGGGAGGCTGAGGTGGGAGAATTGCCTGAGCAAGAGTGAGCTCCCTGACAAAAAAAAAAAGGAAAAACCCAGCTGTGCTCCACGGCGAGCTCGTAGAAATGATAGCTGCTATTAGAAGGCTAGGTGACCGTCCAAGGCTTAGGCCAGCAATTGGGGATAGTGTATAGAGTATCCCAAGTTTCTACCGCTGCTCAGAATTTTTTAGTGATCAGTACAACACTATTTTAGTATCTACCCAATCTAAAATAGAATTCACCTCAACTATCTCCCAGTAGAGGTCCCAGCACTTTGGAATTCCAAATTTGGTTAATATGCACTGTTGTGAGCTACTTATTTTTAACTGTCATTATAACTGACAGATTGAACTTCCTGTAATGTCATTTTCATCATGTCACTCTCGCAGCCTACCATTCAAGACTCTCCACAATCCTTCTGCAACCTCATTCTCCGTTCCCTTTTATAAGCCTTGTGCACCAACCCAGACTCCTAACTTTAAACCCACATCCAGGACATCTCAGGTACATCCAGTGAAGATAGCCTTTTCCTTGCAATGCCTACTCACCTTTCAAGTTCCTCTTCAATTTCTTTCTTTTTCACAAATTCTTCTGAGCTCTGCTGGTTCCCTTGTCTTGTAGTACATAAGCATATACTATTTTAGGAAACCCACTGTATCTGTAAATCTTAACTTTTCCATATTTTACCTCCCTAATTAGACAGAAACAATCTTACATGACTCTTAAGATCCTCCACAAACTATTTACATTTAATTTATTTCTGAGGTATTTACTGAGTAGTTACTGTCACAAGTTCTGTGATAGGCTCTAGGAATAGAAAGATAGCATAAGAAATGAGATCTCTGAAAGGAAAAAATTTATGAAATATGCACATTTTGTATATATGTGTATACATATACATTTGTAAATATTTGTACAAAATATACATATTTGGTATATATTATATATAATTTAACATGACACTAGAGAGCTATACCAAATGCAATGAAACACAGCTCTCAATTCATATTTGTTAAATGAGTAATTCACGACTCGGCGCCTGTGGCTCAAGTGGCCAGGGTGCCAGCCACATGCACCTAAGGTGGCAGGTTCGAATCCAGCCCGGGCCTGCCAAACAACAATGATGGCTACAACCAAAAAATAGCCAGGTGTTGTGGCCGGCGCCAGTAGTCCCAGCTACTTGGGAGGTGGAGGCAGGAGACTCGCTTGAACCCAGGAGTTGGAGGTTGCTGTGAGCCGTGATGCCACAGCATTCTACCCAGGGCTACAGCTTGAGGCTCTGTCT